TACTATGTAATATGTTGCGTGCCCTATTCTGTCTAAGAAGCCACATCATCTCACAGACGGATTTATTTCAAACACTCGACTGACGTTATGAAGTGAGTTTGGAGTAAAAATATGTTATTAAATGTGGTATTTTCACATGCTTTCAGATGGAGCAGCATTTACTTCACAGAGCCGTAGTTCACTGAGAAGCTATGCAAACAGCTGTCATTATCGCGAGCGATTTCTTCGATTTCAGAATCGCGCAATAAAAAAAAAAGTCTGCGATTTTTTTGCATAACTTGTCAGTGAACTACGGCTCTGTGTAGTAAATTCTGCTCCATCTGAAAGCACGCGATGATGATTTCCTGCTGATTACAGAACCGGCATTACTAACAAATTGCGCATGACAATCGCATTCGATTAATCGTGCAGCCCTATCGTGCATTATTTTATTTCTCTCACAGCTACAGACACATGATTACAGTGTGAGAGATCAGGGCAGGTGTGTCATCCGTACCTGCAGGCATGCACCGGCAGATCTTTAGTGTAGTAAGTATCTTCCTCATCCTCCTCAAAGTTCAGCTCGGCCAGAAGCTGGCTGGTCTTCACCACTGCATCTTCTCCATTGGGCAGAACACCATCAGGCCCATTCACCTAAACACAAAACATTTCACCTTAACACCACCATTTCTACAAACAAATCTCAAACTGCACAAGCGTGAAAACTGGAGATTCAATCCAGTGCACATTTAACCCTCAAAACACACACATCTGCAACTTACACCAACAGAAACGCAGTTAAATCAAGTACAAATGCACACCTGATTTACTAAAACAACTTACTCAGCAGCATATACTTAACAAAAGTCTGAAAACACATGTTTGAAAGCTGCAGCTAACGCAGATAAAACACACCTTATTATTAAAGCAAACATAACAACAATTTAATAAAATAATTTCTATTTAAAAACACAAAAACACCTACAAGTTATATTTACCATACAAACAAAACCCCTCTAATCAAATATGCTCTTAAAAACAGGTGTAGTTCAATAAAGTCCTTCTGAAACACATAAATGTGAGATAAACCTGCGAGATAAACAATATAACACGTGTTAAAAAACAAACAAATAAAATGCATGTTATTATAACACCAAAATAGTTAATAAATATCTCACACACCACTATTATAACATCAAAATAGTAAACAAAAACACACCTGTCAGCTGCAGCTAACACAAGCTATCTGTAATAAAACCACATCTCTGAGAATAAGCTGTTATAACATGCTGTTTAATATGATAAGAAAATGAGTTTATTATTAACACCAACGTAGTTCACAAAAGTCCCTCTGAAAGTACGCAAATACACCTGAGATCTGTTATGCTAACCAACCAAAACAAGCTATTTGACGTAACACATCCATCATAAATCACAACCTTAGAGCTAGTGTATTTATTAGCAAATTAAAATTTAACAAGACACTAATGTAGTTCACAAAAGTCCCTCTGAAAGTACGCAAATACACCTGAGATCTGCAGCTAACCAACCAAAACAAGCTATTTGACGTAACGTATTTCACCATCGATAGCAACATAAGAGCTATTATATGTAGTTTCATTTCTTAGCAAATTAAATTTGTATTTGTACACTATTGTAGTTCACAAAAGTCCCTCTGACAACTCTCTCTCTATCTCTCTTCTGGCGGCCTGCTCTGTCGTTGCTAACGCTACCGCGCGGCTAACGCCTGCTAAGCTCGCCATATTTGGACTCAAATGCGTTGAGGGCTGCCTGACAGAAAGGCTCGATTGTGTGTTTATACCTGGTTGTCGAGTTGACTCTGGGTCTGGCCCTGAGTTTGGGTCTGGCTGGGCAGTGTGAAGTCGGTGAACTCGAACTCGGAGCCCTGCGTGTCGGCCCCGAGCAGCTCCGCTTCCTCCGTGTCCAGGAAGGTGAGCGTCTGCGAGCTCGGCCCGTACGCCTCCACACTCATCTTTTTCTGGCTTTGCTGGCCGCCTTTTCGCAGAAAACACCGAAAAATCCCTCAGCGGTGCGGGGAAACGAGCGACCGAAGCGCGTCGGGCGACGTTTGTTTTGGTTCGAAGGGAAGAGAAGGAAACGGCGCGAGACGGGCTCGTGCAGAAATGAAAGCAAACGATTCCGGAGAAGACTCGACTCCCACTCGAGCGCGGTGACGTCACGGGCGAGCGCAACAGACGTAGAGCGCACAGAGGCGATGACGTCTACACACGTTCGCTGTTTTGTTTTGTAAATATATTGCTGTCAGGAAAACACAGACCATTATAGAGCTTCTATTAATGGCACATTGTTTAAAAATAGAGGTTTAGCTCTTCTGAAATATTATATGAATTTTACGAAAAACATTTGGCCCAAATAAGCCGACTTTGGTTTTGCAAAAGTCAAAATAAAAACTCTTGCTGCGTCTCAATGTGCCTACTTGTACTACGCCCTTAAAGTATGTACTCTTTTGGTGAAGAAAAAGTACAAACTTTTGAGTGTGTAAGAGTAGGCAAGCTTTGGGACACACTATCACGTCACAACTACATCTTTTAAAGGGGTCATATGATGCGATTTCAAGTTTTCCTTTCTCTTTGGAGTGTTACAAGCTCTTGGTGCATAAGGAAGATCTGTAAAGTTGCAAAGACTAAAGTCTCAAATCCAAAGAGATATTCTTTATAAAAGTTAAGAGTCAGCCACACCTACCTAAAACGGCTCGTTCTAACACGCCCCCACATATCTACCTCACTATGTGGGAAGATTTGCATAACGCCGCCCAAATGTTCACGCAAAGAAAGAAGGCGTAACTTTTATTCTCGCTGTAGTATTGTTGTTGCCGCCGCCGCCATGTCGTGAAGACGCTGTGTGTTTCGTTGTGAAAGCGAAACTACTTTGTTTGGCCTTCCAAAAGAGGAGGATATCTGATTCGTCATGCCTAGAGCTGATCTGTGCTGGTGTTTGTAGTTTGTAACGCGTTTTATTCGTGTTTGTAGTTCTGGACAGAATCCTTCAACAAAGCGCAATGGATTGTGGGCAATATTAGCCATTAGAGTGTGCACGGATCCACACTTCAAAAATCGACCTGAAATAGTAGACCATCGGGGGACTTTTGGCATACTCTTTTCAACATACTATGCTTTGGGACACACTTATTCTAATCTCACATACTATTTAGGATGGATAGTATGAACATTGAGACGCAGGGAATATGTAGTCTCGCATAGCCAGACCCTCCAGCTGAAGGTCTGGAATTCATGGAATTCAACTTTCATTGGCCAAGGCCCGCCCATGAGGCCGTTTGACCAACATGTCAAACAACCAATCACAGTTCGTTTCGTTTCAACGTCACGCTTCGGGGCGTGGAAATGTCGCCACAATAACAGACCGGTGTGTAAAACTCTCGGACGCACTTTTGTGTGCCATGTGCATCAGACGTTCAGCCAACGGTCCGTGGGCGAGACATCTGAGGCTGAGACTAGTGAATATGTGACCCTGGAGCACAAAAGCAGTCTTGAGTCGCTGGGGTATATTTGTAGCAATAGTCAAAAATACATTGTATGGGTCAAAATGATCAATTTTTCTTTTATGCCAAAAATCATTAGGATATTTAAGTAAACATGTGTTCCATGAAGATATTTTGAAATATTGTCCTATCCTAACAGACCATACATCAATGGAAAGCTTTTTTATTGGATGCAAAGCTTTGGAAAAGCTATGGAAAGCTTTCATATGATGTATAAATCTTAATGTCAAAAAACGGACCCTTATGACTGGTTTTGTGGTTCAAGGTCGCATATAATATAGGCTACCATGTGAACGGGTAGTGTGCTAAAAAGTGACATGATCCACTCCATCTAAAACTGTTGTATCATTTTAACATTATGATTTCAAGACCTCATTTATGTTTATAGAATATGTGTAATTTTTATATATCTGACTTCAATGGACAGCAAATGGGGAATAAAAACAGTGAAAAACCTGAAGTATTATGACACAGACAAGCTACAGATTTTCATTGTACACACATATAAGATTATTAATATATTAATAATATAATATGCTGATAATAAAATTGCTAATGCAACTTTACTCAGAATTTAATCAGAAAATGAAAAACATGTTTCCTCTAATGATCTCATACTTTTCTGTATTAAAACTTACAGTAAATTATTATAAATTTAGATAATTTATAAATCTTAGTTATTTATGTTATATATGATATATAGATTATAAATTAGAAATATTATTTGTATAATTTAATTATGTGTGTGTATATATATATATATAATTTTAATTTATAAATTTTGGAATAAATAAACTTAAATAAGGCAGAAATCATTTATTGAGAGCTACAAATTTGTAAAAAAAAATTGTGGCAAATAAGGAAACACAACATAAAGAGGAAGAACAACAGCGTCCACACAAATGTGGGAATGCATAATATGCATACATAATGCATACATAATAATCACCACTGTAATAGATGTCAGAACATTTAATACAATAAAATGGATCAAGAAATGCTGAAGATAACAGTGTTTTAGGCAACATTAAAAAAAAAATTAGATTCACAGCATAATCAGTTTGGTCCACTGTGTTTGTGATCGATAACAGATTCCAGTAAAAACCGTAGAAAAACAAGCTAAAGAAAATTCAAACCCAAGTCATATGCATATAATATCATATAATGGACTGAGAAATTATGGTGTAATATAATATATAATATCCAGCATTTTGCAAAGAGTATGAAAGAAATGTAACTCTGAGTAACGTCCACCGAGAGAAGACAAACATCACCTTACAATCATCTCACGATTTCACATTTCATATAATTCACAAAAATAAAAACCAAACCGTTGTTGTCTTAACAGTGCTGATAGAATTAGACCTTCAATCACTCAAAAGGCATCGGGTTCAGGTGTCTTTGTGTTTTATGTGGGACCCTGTCCATAAATGGCTTGAAATGAGGAAAAACATATTTAGGTTTGATGCTTATATCCTAAAGCCTGTGTACTCACATTGGCACTTTAATAACCAGACAGACGTGGTTATTATCTTTTATATCACTGTCCAGCAGGCAGATCATAGCTTTTATTTTGTCATAATTTTAGGTCTCCTCTACAATATCACCCTTTGCACTTGAGAAAATAAACTGTAATAATGCGTATACTTTCTTCTGCAGTGTGTGTTTGGGGTATAATTGAAAGCTGCAGATGATAAAGTCATATTTGAAACAGTATTATTTTACTATCATTAAGATACAGTTTTAATTAATATTTTGAATTCGTTTTTTGTATATTTTTCCATTTTCATTTTAGTTCAAAGTTTTAGTTTTTTAGATGTTTTATTTTTTAAATATTCTTTAATGTCCATATAGTTTTTATTTTGAATAAGGTTTATATATATATATTTTTTTTTTTTACTTTAGTTAAAATTTCAGTAATTTAGTTTTTATTAATATATTGAATTAGTTTTAATTTTAATATTTTGTCCATTTTCATTTTAATTTTAGTTAGTAATTTACCCACTTTCATATATAATAAAAAAAAAATATGTCAATATAGTTTTTAATAGTTTGAATGAGTTTTGTTTTTATTATTGACATTTTTATTTTAGTTAGTTTTAGTAATTTAGCCAATTTTAGCCATTTTCATATATTTTTAAAATATGACAATATAGTTTTTTAATAGTTTTAATGAGTTTTGATTTTATTATTTTTTCCATTTTTATTTGAGTTAAAGCTGTAGTAATTTAGTTGTGTATTTGTATGTGTCTATATACAGTGGGTACGGAAAGTATTCAGACCCCCTTAAATTTTTCACTCTTTGTTATATTGCAGCCATTTGCTAAAATCATTTAAGTAAATTTTTTTTCCTCATTAATGTACACACAGCACCCCATATTGACCGAAAAACACAGAATTGTTGACATCTTTGCAGATTTATTAAAAAAGAAAAACTGAAAAATGCTCAGTATTTAGTAGAAGCACCCATTTGATCTAATACAGCCATGAGTCTTTTTGGGAAAGATGCAACAAGTTATTCACACCTGGATTTGGGGATCCTCTGCCATTCCTCCTTGCAAATCCTCTCCAGTTCTGTCAGGTTGGACGGTAAACGTTGGTGGACAGCCATTTTTAGGTCTCTCCAGAGATGCTCAATTGGGTTTAAGTCAGGGATCTGGCTGGGCCATTCAAGAACAGTCACAGAGTTGTTGGGAAGCCACTCCTTCGTTATTTTAGCTGTGTGCTTAGGGTCATTGTCTTGTTGGAAGGTAAACCTTAGTTCCAGTCTGAGGTCCTGAGCACTCTGGAGAAGGTTTTCGCCCAGGATATCCCTGTACTTGGCCGCATTCATCTTAACATTTAAGGGGGTCTGAATACTTTCCGTACCCACTGTATATTTTGATGAATTTGTATTACAGTTTTAGTTATTTTACTAATTCAAAATTACTAGATGGATATATTATTATTATTTTTTCCCAGTTAACGTTTATTTCATTTCAAGTAACAAACTGTTTAACTCATTTAAGTTTTAGTTTTGTTTGTGTTTAATGCCATGCCAGATTCTACGGCTATTTTCATGGTGAGAAAAATGTATCATTAAAAATTTATTAATTATAATAACCCTGGTTTAAATGATTTTATACTACAGACATACTTAATCTGGTGAATAATGATTTTAGAAATTCTGCCTTGACTGTTTAAAAAAAAATCATTTTTGTTTAAAGAGCTCCATGTATACGTAGTGTTTTCACATCACTTCCAAGTCTTTTTTATGCATAATACCAAATCTCTGCATGTTTCAAGTACACCCCATTAAAGTGCTTTCTTGACTATTTGAACGCAGCCGTAGGATTGAGTTTAGCATCTCAAACCAGCTGACTGATCCTAGTATGCAGCACACAAGTTAAGACACTGATGTCTTCAAATGTGCATGAACTCTTGAATCCAAAGCGACGCTCCATATGTGCGTACGAGACTTGGCCTGTGCTCTCATTGGTCGTGCAGACAGAGTTTCTTTCCCTTGTTGTGCTCCATCAGTTCAAGCATCTCCAGGATGACGGCCCTGAGGGCCTGAGCGAGCTGCTCCGCGCTGTAGGGCTTCCCTAGAGGAGGAACATGCACAAACGCAGACCTGCCCTCGCCCAGAAACAGAGACATGTAGTAGGTGTAGTCACACAGATACCTGCGGAAAGAGGATCAGGAATACATTCAACTAAAAAATGTACAAAGTCTTACAAAATAAGTCTGTCCTGATAATAAAACCAGTCGCATGCAGTGTTGGGGGTAATGCATTACAAGTAACGCAAGTTACATAATCAAGATTACTAGTAACTAGTTCTAGTAAATAAGTAATGCCAGTTACTTTGCTTTGCCATGTATTGACTGACTGCTCTCCTGTGCGCATATTGACAAAAATCAGGAGTAAGTGCAGAGGCATTGTGTGTGCTGTGTGAACATGATTATTACTGTAGTTCTAGACTAAATGTCAACATGCATTTAATCGTAAACTATTTCTCAAAATGAATAAAACAGTGAAATACAAAATCAGAATATGATGCAAACCTGCATGTTAACACAAATATCCTCATGTATTCAATCCCAGTTTATTAACCGTGTCTTTGCTGCTGACCTTCGTTGATGCAATTCAACCATACTAACAACCAACAATTACTTTAGATAGACATAACATTTGGGTTTCTTTTTTATATTGCTGAAGGGTTGATGTTTGATGTTTTTATTATCTGTAAAATAAAACTTTTTTTATATGAAAAACAAACAAACAAGCAAGCAAGTCCATCCCAGATGAGAAAAAGCAAAGCGAAAGTAATGTAACACATGACTTTCCATAAAAAGTAACTAAGTAATGCAATAAGTTACATTTTTAGGGAGTGATGCAATATTGTAAAGCATTACTTTTAAAAGTATTTTGACATTTTGGTCATTTAATAAATTCTCATTAGCCACTCTAATACAACCTTTGGGCTATATGTGACCCTGGAGCACAAAACCAGTCATAAGGGTCCATTTTTTTAAATTTGAGATTTATACATCATCTGAAAGCTGAATAAATAATCTTTACATTGATGTATGGTTTGTTAGGATAGGACAATATTTGGAAAATCTGGAATCTGAGGGTGCAAAAAAATCAAAATATTGAGAAAATCGCCTTTAAAGTTGTCCGAATGAAGTTCTTAGCAATGCATATTACTAATCAAAAATTACTTTAGATATATTTACGGTAGGAAATTTACAAAATATCTTCATGGAACATGATCTTAACTTAATATCCTAATGATTTTTGGCATAAAAGAAAAATCTATAATTTTGACCCATACAATGTATTGTTGGCTATTGCTACAAATATACCCCAGCGACTTAAGACTGCTTTTGTGCTCCAGGGTCACATATATGCAAACATCTGTTATGTGAAACAGCTTATTCATCGCAGTACCCAACAAAAAACAACATGCACTTTTTATGGTTCTTTCATTATTTATTTTGTAGATTCTGCAAGGTGTAAGCAAACAAGCAAGAAGAGCATTTTACCTGCCGGCGTCCTTTGACACAGACACAGAGACGCCGAGCCCGGAGGAGTTGACTCTCTTGCAGACGGCGTCCATGTCTATGACAGACTGAATGCAGTTGGGTCCTCCCTCCATACAGCAGCGTGACTCCGGACAGAAGCTGCAGTTATCCAGGCGCATGTAACCCTGGTTATGACCACACTGTTCAAGCGTTACTGTCGTGGCCATCCCGGACACTCCAACATGGACCACTAACTTTGAAAAAAAAAAAAAAGAGAACGAAAAAATAGGATTTAAAAAAATATATATATTGATGAAACGTATTCCTAAAATGTAAAGATGAGTCATTAACACTACTATAATACTGGTGACTAAAAGATTTTTAAATGTTTTTAATAAAGTCTCTTCTGCTCACCAAGGCTGCATTTTTTGTTGAAAAATACAGTAAAAATAGTAATATTGCTTAATATTATTACAATTTAAAAAAACTGTTTTCTATTTGATTATATATTTTCCCACAAAAATATGAAGCAGCACAATTGTTTTCAACATTGCTAATAATCAGAAATGTTTCTTGAGCAGCAAAGCAGTATATTAGAATGATTTCTGAAGATCATGTGACACTGAAGACTGGAGTAATGATGCTGAAAATACAGCTGCGCATCACAGAAACATATATTCCCAAGAAATCAGTTAGTTTACATTAAAATAACATTTCACAATATTACTGTTTTTACTGTATTTTGATCAAATACATGCAGCCTTGGTGAGCAGAAGAGACTTCTTTCAAAAACATTAAAAAGTTTATTTATTCCAAACTTTGTTTGCCAGTGTATTATATGATATGATATGATGATACATTTTGATTAAAATAATTAAGATGCAATTCATCATATATAAAAAAATAATGTACAATAAATAAAATTTTAATTTTACTACATGTGTACACAGGCCAAGAATTAATATTATTAAATAATCCAGTATTAATTATATTTACAATAAATATAATTTAAACATATAATACTTTTATGAGAATTTTATTTTTATTTCTACATAACATACATACACTAGTACAGAGCACAATAAACACAGCAAACACAGAATAATTGATCATATATATATATATATAAAACTTACTTTTATAAAACAACACTCTGTAGACATTTAGCATCACTAACTAATAAAACTAAACACAAACATGAGATCGTTACGCTACTTGAGGAAGCTGCTGTTTCCATAGAGACGGCAGAAGACTCTGGACCGCCTGATACTCCACAGGAACTTCAGCAACGTGAAGGTTTATATCGTGACCCAAACCCAGTTTCTCCAGCTCCTGACAAGAGGACATGTTTATGTTAAATCATGTGAACAAACAGCGAGTACAGCTCATAGTTGATGTGCTCTGCTCATTTCCTCGCAGTGTGAATCTGAATATCATACCTGTACTGCCACCCAGCTGGCATTGACAGCGTGTTCACCGAACGGCTCAAAGCCTACAGAAACACAATCATATAGCAATGCGATGTAATGTCTTACTACAGGGCGCTCTAAATACTTGATTCGGATTGGTCAAGCATTTTACATAATGACACTGAGCTGAATAATTGATCATTGTCTCTTGTATCACTCTCACATAATAAGATAATTTCAACTCAGATTAATATTTCATGTCCATGTATTTCTTTATTTATGTGGTAAGTAGTGGTATGATAAATAAAATGCAATAATCATTGTCACCTAAAAACCCCTTCAGAGTGACTGGAGACCCCTCAACTTCAGCCGACTGGACGTTATCATCAGGCTCAACTGATCTGTTTTATAGCTGTTACACACTTTAAACTCAACAGGCTTTCAGGACGCTGAAGTCAGCGAGATCTAAACTCTGCAATCCAGAGTCCACGATCAGATCCTGCTTTAAACGGGATGAGATGCTGCCATCAGTGACCTGAACAGTGCACACACAGAACCCAGAGTCAAGCAAAAACTCCAGTATTTACTTCTCTAGAACACTTTTTTTAGCAGCTAAATTAGGAGGGGATTGCATGACAATAATATTTCATTCAAATGTGTAATTATCAGATGGTAATATCATGTTGCATGATAATATTATGGTGTGTGTGTGTATGTAAATATGGTATAGATATGATATTATGGTACTGAATACATTTTCATATACTCCAAATAGGGTTATTGTTGTTGTTGTTTTCGCTATTGACATTTTTGTTAACTGAAACAGAGCTGAAATGAAACAAAAATCGGAAATGATTCTGTGACAAGTAACTGAAACGAGTACTAAATAAATAAAAACTAAACCTAAACTAAAAAAAAAAAAAATTAAACCTAAACCAACAGCAAAAACGAATAAGAACGAAAAAGGCACATTAAAAAATGATTAAAAATGTACCTAAAAATATATATTAAAAAAATGTTTTAACAAAATTCAAAATATGGCTTAAAAACCGTAACAGTATAAAATTAATACTAAAAATAAAACTGACTCCAAAATTCTTCAAAGAACATCATACTATAGAAAATATCCAAACATAGTCACAAATATTATATGGTAGACGTCCCGAACACCACAGTAGTATTACCATGGTAAATACAAAAACTGAAAATAAAGTTATGTTATTAGTAAATACTCAAAAACACTAAAATCATTGTAATTATAAACGAAAAAAAAAAACAATGAGAACAAAACGACATGTACAGAAAAGGAAATTAAATTAATTGAATGAATAAAATAATGGTACATGGTACTTCCCGATAGTTTGGGTAGTGATAGAACTTCGATATAAATAAGTATTTTATGCATTTTAGTTTTGTATTTAGTGTCAAACGACTTTCAGTTGTAATGATGATCATTTGCGTGTCGTGGAATTGATTATGATAATAATATCAGTCACAGAAGCAGACTCAGCTGTCGCTAGAGGTTCTTAAAGATTGCCATGTTTAACCTTCTAAGTGATCTTTACCTACACCAAAAATCAATCAAACATGCATGGAGCTGGTTTCCTGAGGAGTGTTTGGTGGTTTTGACTTGTGTGGCAACACCCATAGCTGAGATCTGGTTCAAACCTGTCTGCGTGAGCTGGTCTCTGAGGAAAGAAGGACTTCCCATTGTGGTGTTTATAGTTAATTAGCAGTGTTCCTTCATGAGTCACGCCAAACACGGAGACAGACACCTTCAGTCTGATTCACTGACAAAATACTGCAGACGCTGCCAACAAATAAAGTGCTTAATTTATTAGGATCTTTAAACTCTCTTAAACAAAAATGGTGTAGAACTAATTTTCACTCAGAAATTGCTAGTAAATTTGACAAAGAAAAATGTGAATTTTTGACATACTCCAATAATCTGTTTTATTTACAGCTTTTGAAAAATCCTTTTTACAATTTGAGAAGATTTTTAATTAATAGGCTATTTTTTGAAGACATTTATCCCTTTAGCAGTCAAGAATTAGTCTGCTAAAATGAAAAACAAATAACTGAATTATATATATATATATATAGCCTATATATATAGCGAGAGAGAAAATTGTAATTGTATAAATAATTAAAATGTAAATTGTGTAATTTTCACTTAGAAATAGTAAATTCCACAAAGAAATAGCAAGTAACACACTGAATTAAACATGATTAAGTAGAAAGAATAAAATACTAAAATAGTGTTTTCTTGTAAATCACACTCCAATAATGTTTTATGTTAATGTTTTATTTACAAAAATAATTTACAGCATATACATAATGTACAATATGTGTTTCATTTATAAAATATATATACATATATATGGTGTGCCATCAAATAAATGATCAGTCAGGTCAAATGAATAATAAAAGAATTAATAATAAAGTAAATAAATAAATGGAAATTCACTAATATATTACATGATCTGGATATTAATAATCTGACCACAGACAGTTATTACAGTTATTATCTGTTCCACCTTTATTTGACCCTCTAACTCTAGCACTTTCTATTCTATTTTAATTCTACTTTATATTTATTTTTTATTTAAAAAAAACAACAAAAAACAAACAAACACTAGCTTTCTATTTTTTCTATTCTATCTACTTGTTTTTCTTTGTGTGTATGTGTGTATAATATATATATATATATATATGTATGTGTGTGTATGTATATGTATGTGTGTGTATATATATATATATATGTATGTGTATATATATATATGTATGTGTGTGTATGTATATGTATGTATGTATGTGTATGTGTGTGTGTGTGTGTATATATATATATATATATGTGTA